ATAGTGTTCTATTCTTTAATTCAAGATATGAAGATCTGTAATGAATGTGCTTTCATGTTCTTATAATTTCAGGAAAAGGGTAACCAAATGATGGAAAAGGCTGGTAATGCTGCTCAATCGACCAAAGAAACAATGCAGGAGGTTATCATATTGATTCGTGTTTTCGCTTTTGACATGTTTGATACCTTCAATTCGACATAGTTATATTAGTAATTGACGTAAAACATTAATTGAGATTTTTTTTTTTGGTTTAGGTTGGACAGCAAGTGAAGGCCAAAGCAGAAGGTGCAGCTGATGCAGTTAAAAATGCAACTGGGATGAACAAATGAAGATTGATGGATCCTTCTACTGCTTTGAAGTTTTGGTTGAAAAATTGTTGATTCTGCAATGAGAACCTTTATTTTTTATTCCTTGAAACAGGAGTTTATGTCATAAAAGTTACCTAATAATTATTTGAAAATGTTTTGAATTTGGTAATGAGTAACTTAATTAGATTAAATAAAAATTCTTTAAAACGTAAATCTGCCCATTTCTCAGTTACACGATGAATTAGACAGTAGTCTAGAATTCTTTCCCGAGAGGCCATATGCGTATAATATATAAACATTGGGGATCTCCGTAAAATATACATAACTCGCAACTCTTTATTTTAAGTAATTTTTCATTTCCATACACAATTGGATAAAATATTTCTTTGATCAAGTGTGTTCTACTCCATAAGTAGATTAATGTAATGTATTTATTTTCTCAAAATCAATTTAGGATGAATGAGAAATTAAGGTTAAAAGATGACCACATGAAGTTGAAATTAATTAGAATAAAAATTGGTGGGAAATTGGAAAAGTGCCAATCCCACATTAGAAAACTAGAAGAATCTACATGCTAGTAGGTTGAGCCAAAATCCACAAGCGCACGCTGCCGTCCGACCGGCCGGCTCGGCTCGCCAACATGTGCTTCATGGCAATCAATGATGAGATAAATTCTATTGAAAAATTCTCATATGATGATTTATCCACATCTTAAGATGAAATTTTAGAAGAAATTGAAAAACTCGCCCTTAGTCAATCTATTCTTAAAAAGAAATATAAATTATTAAAAAATAAAAT